TTCCTGTGTTTTGTACTTTGGCAGTAGCCACAGCCATTGTCACATCCTCCAATTATTAAAATGGTTGGAGATAAAATGCCTCTCCACCAGCCTTTCCTGAAGTTGTCTTCCAAAACCTGATTTTGAAGTCGCCCCCCTTCTTCAGAACAAAGCCACTTTCACAGCACACACTTCTGCCCCACACAGGCCTCAGTATAACTGTCTGTCTGCACTCTGAGCAGCTGTGGAGTTCTTTGAATGCAGCTCCTATATTCGTTAGTCTGCTTTCAAATATCAAGCAGAATCTTGTGATTGCCTCAACCTAAACCCATGTGTATGAAGGGAATACAGAGCTGAGGAATAATTCTTTCAAACCAGTTAACAACTGCCATCTCAATGGCAAAGACCCCAAAACTATTAGAGAGAGACCTCCAATGCTCAGACTATGTTAACAGGAAAAGGAAGAATTCCTTTTTAACAGGAAGAGGCCTCCTTGGCATCAGGATCAGGGAGGTGCTGCCACCTGCTGGAAGTGGTTCAGGTTTGAAGGGAAAAGAAAAGAGAAAACACCAACCACACCAACCCTGACTGTAAGCTTTCACACACATGAAAAAACAAAAAACAAAACATTGATGTTGACATTATACATTTAAATGTTGATCGTGTTAACTCCGTTTTTAAACCGTGTCACCTCTGTGGTATGTTCAATGCGCACCTCTTCTTCAGCTTTCCTGCTCTTTTGGTATCTCGTCAATCTGCTGCAGTCTGCAGATGTGAACCCAGTGTGGGAACTAAAACTGTCACCATGATACAACACACCAGCTTGCATATGACTGCTTCATTGACATCATGGTTTTATACAGCTGCTTCAAATAAAGACAAAATAAGAGGTTTGACAAAGTTGAAGAAGTCAAACTTCACTGATTGCTTATTTTACATCATTCTGTGAAATACAGACTAACACACCTGACTTCAACCTTTAGGTCGTGGACAGTGTCTGACATTTATATTATTTTCCTATAAATTATTGTAAATAATTTTAAAAAGGTCTGTTTATCGAGTGACAGGAGCAGGGCACCAAAAGTGGGTTCACTGTGAGACAAGGAGTTGTAGGACATGAGTGTGCTTGTTTGATACAGTGACTCATCAGTCTGTGAGGACCTGTGATTCATGCTTACAGACAATACAGTTGTTTCGTCGTTACTTTAACGAGGCTAAATCTGTTTGTCCTTGTGGCAGCCAAGCTGAAGAAGATGAGAGTTTATAGCATGAAGTTACGTAAATGTGTTCGTCCCACGACCTCTGACTACAGGAGCTCGCTGTTGTTCCTGATGCTGATCTAAAGCTGGAATGATGTGTGTTTGCTCCGGTACAACATGGTAGTAAGAGACAAGGAAATAACAGTTAACTAAAAGATTTTAAAAATTAGTATTATACAAGGTTATAGAAATTTGGTTTGTTAAATTTTTTTTGTGTTGATTTAATTTCTTGATTTATCATTGATTTCTTTTCAAACTGTTATACAACTTATTTATCAATGCTATTTATTTTCTTGGTTAAGGATTTGATTATTTCTATGGGGGTAAGGGATAGGATAAGTATAAGCCATAA